TTTGTTTTTTTTTTTATTAATGCTTGTTTGTTCCTCTCTATTTTCCTGCATGTATAAACTCCTGCATGTATAAACTCTAAGTTAGAGTGCTATTAAGTAGGGGTTGCTCAGGGTAAGTCGAGGAAAGTCATGTCTCTTTACTTGATTCATTCCTACATTCAGAACTGATTCACATTATTGTTTCGACAGATATGTTGGGTAAGTCATGCCTTCAACAGTTATGACGCCAACACGGTTACCTATCCAGATGGACGCCGTCGCCTTCGCTGATTTGTTCTCTGGAGAGAAATAAGGAAATTCACTTGTTATTGCAATCTTGTGATTGTCTCCCCATTTTTAAGGGAAATGTAAAGCAATGGGAAATGTAAAGCAATGGTAACTGTGCTGTATCTTAATTAAAAAAAAACCCCAAATATTATTGGCTTACTGGCTCAATAATAAGAACCACAAATACTTGTGTCTCTAGCATTTACATTATGTTAGGCCATTTTTTAACTAAATCTTTCAAGGTGCAACCGACTTTCGAGAGAAGGACTGGGCTATAGTACGATTGTCCTAGTCTTGCTCTCAATTTCTAGTAATGTGAATCGACGAGAGACTCTTACCTCCTCCATCTTTACATTCACATATGAATCCAACACCCTTCTTTGGTACGTCACACCGCAGATCATTATAGCACCCGAAGTTGTTTTCATAATTGTACATCTCCGCACAGTTCTCGCCACCCTGATTGTTAGGTTCTCCTGCTGCCCAGGGGAGCCACTTTCCTTTACTGGACGCGTTAACTGTGCTGTTGTCACTCAACCATCTCCACTCTCCGGTTGATGTATCTTTCCTCAATCCTATGAAGTATTCAGAGGTTCCATTGTTTTGCATAGTTTCCTTCAGGAATTTCCATTCCTCACGACTCTCAATCGAAACAAGGTTACATCCAGAACTTTCGCAGCTTGTTCTGCTTTTGTCCCAACTGTACAAAGTACCATTACTCCCATAGAAAATGTAACTTGAATCAGCGTAGCTCCTCAGGAGACCTGAATGTACAGTTCAACGGAGACATTAGTTATCCCAGCAGAGAGGGGTGAAGCTTAAGGAATCGAAACTCTTCTAAGACCTATTTTTAAAGTTTAATAGTGGCTAAGTTGTGTCTGAGTACATTGTTATATCAAACATGTTATGGGCAATATGTGTCCGAGTACAGCGCCAAATCATCATTTGTACATATAAAGTAGCACATCCGATTTTTCTCAAACGAGCATCCTATATATTCAGCTTTCAGTTGGATACGAATAATAAAAAAAAGGAAGCAAGTTCCTCTCCATCTAAATATTGTGCTTACCGCCATCACTCTTTGTTTGTGTGGTTCCAGTTAGCACGAGCAGAGTAGAATATACCGCAAAACGCACTTTTTCCATTCCTTCAGACAAGTATTTCCCACAATGTGCTCGAGCATTAAAGTAAAATGGTTTGCGAATCGTGGTGTGATATGCGAATCAGGCACTTCGGTTTCGTCTTAAGATTGTAAAGAGGCAATTCCGATTAAGTCACCGCACTGAGACGTGACTTTCGACACCAAAAGTACGCACGAGTATCAAGACTGAATGAATGTGCTTATTGTAGGTCAAAACGCAGCGGGATTTTTCCTTTTACGGCTAATGTTCGTCACTAATGACATCATTCGTGTCTGA